CCCCCCCCCCCCCCCCATCCTCACCGTGCTCTGACCTCCTCGACGGAGGAGGAGGGGCTCCAGGCATGAGCCCCGTGCGGTAGTCGGGAGAGGGCAAAGCAACCTGTCCTTCCTTTGCTTTGCGTCCATCTGTTTTTCTTTTCTCTTTCACGCTGCTCAGAGGATGCAAAAGGCTGCTAAAATCAAGAAGAAAGCGGTGTGTAGGATGTGGGGTTTGCTTGTGTTTCTGTGGCATGTCCTGTGCAGGGGGAGGGGGCTGGGGGAAGCCCCAGGAACAGAGACGATGTGGCAGATGGGTTTTTCTCTTCCTTTGGTAGGTCAATGCTAGACTGTTGAATGAAATCACAGACACTTTTTTTCTTTAAGCCGCCCACTTACAGAAGCATTTAATCGTTGCCCTTTTTTTCATTTTTCTTTTTTAGAGTCTCCATGAGCTAGAGCATAGTTACTGCCATGATGTGGCCGTTTTGTGTAGACGTTTTTAAATGTGGCATTTGATGCGACCATGTGATGCGTTCAGTGCCTAGGGCCCCTGTACAGAATTAATTAAATCGCTTTGACATTTAGACTCATTAAGTTTAATTTACTGAATCGGGATGATGAGAAATGCAGTCTGCCCAAGGGATGCTTTCTCTATTGAGAAGTTTCTGGAGCATGGGCAGACTTTTAAAAATCTTGGGTCGACCTTCAGTTGTTTGCTCATCAACCTGGTCGTTTAGTAAATGCTGGGCATGTTTTAACTATCCCCCTGATGCAGGAAGTGTCCAGTGCTCTGTGTCTGAGGGCTGTCTTGGCAATGGATTTTGTTTGGGCAGCAGGAGAGCTAGTCCTCTGTGCCCGCCTGGAACACCACATTCTGGCAGTGTGGCCAGAGGACCCTGCCCGGGGTCTCCCTTCCCGCTGCAGTGAGACCTTCCTCCCTGTGATGCTTGCTGTTTGCCCAGCGGCCTCTCCTGGGATGCCTTCAGCTGCGGGCGAGGAAGGAACTCATGCATCTCCCTCTGCCCAAGCCACCTTGTGCTGGGTGTCTCCAGGCACAATGGAACGAGCCTGGCTTTGCAGACCTGCAGTGGGGTGTGCTTCCCCCAAGGCGATGGCCCTCACCCACAGTCACCCCGTGACCCCCTGACAGCTGGAGCAGGACAGTGTGGACCACAGCCTGCTCCTTGGGTCTATAGTCCGGAGAGCTCAGAGGGGTCGGTGTAGGCAGACCAGACCTTGGTGCCAGCCAGGGCCAGCGGTTACCTCCATGAAGAATTGTTCTTTCTCTCGGCCAGGAAGATCCTCAGGGTCATTGCCAAGGGCCCCTTCACTGATCTGCCCGCAGCTGGCCAGGCAAACAATGATGAGAGGGTCTCCATGAGGGACCAGTGTCCCCGGCAGAGAGTCCCCACCCCAGGGATTTGCTGGTGACTGTAGGGGTATGGACCCCCATCCACAAGTGACTACAAAGAAGAGGCTCCCCCCAGTGACCAGAAAGGAGTACTTATGTCGGTGGAGAAACCCAAGAACTCGCATGTCACTGCCACTGCACAGTAGTATTTAGGATCCCCTGTGACAGGCTGTCCCAGTTTAGGGCAGACCCCAAGCAGTGCATTCAGCTTCCAGAACATTCTTTTGCACATTGCTCCAGCCGTATGATGGGTGTACCCGGGAGATGACAAAACGGGCATCTGTGGGATGGCTTCTCCAGAGTCCTGTGAGGGCAGCGCCCCGTCTGGTTGAGGTCTTGCTTCCTTAGGGTTTTTGGAAGCTGGACCAGTGCTGCTGGGGGTTGACATGACTGTGGCTTTAAGCTAGAAGAAAATGCAGATATGCTAATCCACCTTCTTGGAAAAATTTTCTTCCTCTTTACCTGGGGATACTTGGAATCCCAAATCCAAGAAATGTAGCTCCAATCCACAGACCCTGTGTAGCTGCCGTGTTCCGGAAGGGTGGGCAGGCAGGCCCGCTTCTCCGGGGGTTGGTGGCTGCAGTCTGGATGCTGCGACACAAGCCCCCCAGCGTCCGGCCCCCTCCGGGCTCAGCCTCCTGGAAGCGGTCCCCCCTCCTACTCCTGTGCCAACTGCGCTGAGAGAGCTCACTCAGCTGGGATGTGCTGGGGAGGCCTGTGTTAAGACTCCCATGGCTGCTTCTGCTAGGAGCTTCTCCCTCTAGGGGCGCTCAGGGTCCTTCGTGAGATTGTCAGGCCTTTGTTTGAGTTAGTTTTTTTAAAGGTTTGTAACAGTCTCCACCATCCTTTCTTAGAATTCTGAGGGGGATGCTCAGACGCTCACCGAAGTGGACCTCTTCATCTCCACCCAGAGGATCAAGGTGTTAAACGCAGACACACAGGTGAGCTTTGGAAGACGGCGCTTTAAAATCATGCTCAGGAGCTCCCAGGAGAGCCAGGTCGAGCTGCAGACCCCCTCTGCGGGGGTGAGATGGCATCCCCGGGACAGTCCCCCTGGCCCCTGCTGTGAAACGTAGAGCAAGCTGGGGGTGGGCAGTAGCCTCGGGCCTAGTGGGGTGAAGCTGGCTATCCGGTGTGCACAGCAGCAGGGATGAAATAGAGATACCATGAAGGGGAGCCAGGTAGCCGGGGGAGGGTGTGTGCTCACCATCGGGTTTCTGGAATGGCCCTCTCGAGGCCTGTGCGTGCGGGGCTGGGAGATGGAGCTGGAGGGTGGAGATCCGGGTGGCCCTCCGCACCACC